ACCTGGACATCTATGGCTACGTCGTGCCTCACCTACATCTGAATCATGTCTATGTATGCACAGAGCAAGGGCGCCAGGTACCTCCAAGCCCAAGAACCCCAGCGACCCCAGTCGCTTGCACGCATTAAGTTTGGTTTGTTTACAAAATGCATCACAATCTGCAGCTGTGCGCCGAATGCAAGGTTTTCACGCATCCCCTATTTTTTGGTCTCACCACCACACCACGAAAGCAGAGCCTGGAGCGAACACCAGCAAGGCCTGGTAGAAAATTTTACTCTACGTACTTTTCTCCCGAGGAAACTTGACCACTAAATTGCATCGCTCCCGAAATGCATGAGTGAAAAGTTCAAGAAATTGTCTTTCAAATTACAATTACGAGATGTATATCACCATTTCAGCGCTTATATAAACAGACATTAAGCCAAATCAGCTGATTACAAAATTGTGCGGGAAAAGCACCAGTCTTTCTGTTTATTTAGCTACTTATGTTTTTATTGGTATCATACCAGTGTAACACCAATTTATTCTTCCTTCCTTTTCGTTTGTCTTTAGACCATCTTCTGCTTAAAATGTTGACCAATTTCTCTGCAAGATGCTCTAACTGCAAGCTTGTACGTATTTCATACATAAATCGAATTAATTCGCCAGCTGCCCAAACATGTTTGATATACACCCAAGCGTGAACAATTCACAGGGAATGAAGGAGACAATTTGAAGCACGGAACTTACTTTTAACGCCATTTTTGCCCTCTAAAACCTTCGGTTAACTGTTTTTTAGGTTCATGGCGGTGCCCAATAAGGATAAATCCAAGCTTTTCGAGTGTCTGACTTATCAAGCTACCTGGCAAGGCTTAAAATGGCCTTGCCGAATGCTGCCTCTGTATGGCAGCATTAGAATATGCTGCCACATGGAGCCTTGGGACAGACATGACGCAGCTAATACAGAAGTGTTTTATGGCCAAATTCTGCCCTCTGGAGATGTTTATCATGAGCACCTCTTACTTGTTTCGGATTTTAGTCTCGAAGGCTGGTGGGCATGATTTATATTTATATTTGGGAGGTGAGTCGGATGACTCTGTCTGCCAGCAGACCATGCAATAGGTATATAATTTTTGGGGGGGAGCAGTTAGAAGCCGGCGAGTCTCCTCTGGACCAAGTAATTGCTTACCTTACCTGTTTTCAACACATGATTGGTAACCAGAGCCAGCCATTTTCTGTTTTAATGCATCGAGTTTTGCCATAAGACAAATTATGATACCACAAGGCGTGCAATGGGCTTAATTTGTTCCATATTCTTGGCTATTTGCCCCACATTTCTAAAGTGGTCCCTCATGGCTGGTTTAACCAGATGTTTGCTATAGTTGTCATGGTTTGCTGACTGGCAAATGACTGTACTGTATATATGCACTATATTTTTAACACAGGGATACTCTAAGCTGCTTAGCAATTATAACATGATTCAAATGTTAGCATGTAGCAAATAGTCAGACCACCCCATCTAAAATGTGAAGCCTACACCTCAAACTTTGTCATTAAATATGAATAAAGAAGCTCAAAAAGCGTGCCCCTTGACATAGGCTAACCATGACAATCAAAATAAGTTGTTCAAAGTGATTTAAAGTGCATTGATTTGAATGTTGTCAACTTTGTCTGATGTCAACAAGCATGCACAAATGAACTGAATAAAAATTGAAGTTGAAAGCAGCCAAAGACTAGCTTTAAATATCTTGTTTTTATCACAAGTGCTGCTGTCAACAGATAGGTGAGTTGAGAGGATGTTCATCATATGGGCTACTCTAAGCTAGGTTAAGTTGGTCAATTGCATGGCAAGTGGCAGTAGGAATTGTGCAAGAATCAGTAACTCACGACTGCTGCTGGGATGCAAGTTGGTTATACAGGATGAGATGATGTAAGGCCTCTTTAGGTTAGGCATAGGCTACTTTCATGGAAATAAGCATTGGTATTTTGTACAAAATGGTGACAAAATGTTTGTTTTCCCTGCCCCCACCTTAACAGAAGCCAGAAGTATGTCCATTGTGTTTGACTTGGTGATGGGCTGCTGTGTTGGATTCCAGTTTTTTCTGAGTGTTCTATGCTTGTTGAATTTTCTGTTGTTACATCATTATTGAATTCCATTGCCTTGTTTTGTTTTAAAAGTGCTGTGGAAGGGAATTGAAAAGTGCAGCATCAAATTACTGGTGTTAATCATTTGTTATGCTCATAATACTGTCATGACATTACTATGTTTTAACATGCGCCCGGTTGGCCGGCTAGACACCCTTCGCTCGGGTGTGGGGGTCAATTTGAACCCCCTCTGAGATCCCGTGAACTAAGAAAGCTAGAGACACCAAATTCGCTGGGTGTCTTGACCTATACGCCAACTCACTTAAGTTATGGTTTCAGTTTCCTAGGTCATAACCTTTAGGTCAAATAAGGCCAAACAAGGTCAAACTCCAGGTTGGTCTCCAAAGCGCCCCCAGAACCTAGGCAACCGTCTCTAACCAAAAGGTCACAAGCCCATTTGAGGTCATTGACCTTGTTTGACCTTTTGAAGGTCATGGTGACCAAAGTGATGCAAGACTGCTCTGCATTTTCATTTGAATAAGCGACAAATATTACGCTAGGCAGTATGTTCCTAAAACGAAATGTTCGACCCGGGTCGTCTTACGTCAGTAGCCTGTTCCTGATCTGTAAGAAATCAATTGAAAATGTATAATGCAGTTCCTGCTGTCAATAAATTCGAAATGAGCAACAGAAACTATCCCATACAGCAAGCCCTAGAGTTATAATTCAGGTTGGTTTTGAAATTGGTCTGACCATCATACCTGACCTTAGGTCAACGTAATTTGCCCATTCAATATTTTTGGTGCCTAAGAAAGCATCTCAGATATGTATGTCTTCGTCAAACACTCCGTTGTTGTATCAGATTGAACGATTCCCTAGAAATTGCTTTCGCTGAAACCATAGGCTGACTTTCACCTGTCATAGGTCAGCGACCTTACAAGGTACATCTAAAATTTGTATGTCAAACGATCCGCTATGCAATTTTCTACAGCTATGCAAAATGTGGCGCGGCTACGCCGCGCCGTTCAAAAACCACTCGGGAAAAGCCCTCGGGGTGAGGGGGGTCAATTTGCCTCCCCCCACTCGAGCGCGTGTTAATGTATTCTGTTTCACTTTAATGGCCTAAGATGTTAAAAAATGAAATAGTTTTGTCAGGTTTCCGATATTACGTCCATGCCAACTTGAAATAAATGTCTTTGCTTGCTGAAGCATCCGTCACGAGCTCATAAGTTCCGTCTTTTGTGAATTGATTTTTTCACTCCTGCACGGTCTTTTTGCGATGGAATTTTTCACTCCCACCCTAGTTCAAAAGCGATTCTAGCTCCCTGGTTATAGGCCGCATCTGCTTATTAGGAGAAGTGCTGGTTTGGGTCATAACCTGAACCACATTTGCCATGCAATTCATGAGCTGAGTTATGAGCCAATCATTTCCAACAAAGCTGTATCAGTGAATCATATGGCTGAAATCCAATTGGCAGCACACAGAAATAGCATGCCCCAGACAAATTTACACCTCACTTCAGTGTCAACATTAAAACCATGCAGGATAAGTTATAAAACCTTTTGCAGCATGGACGATAGGCAACAAATAGAATTATTTTCACAGTTTCTTAACAGGATCTAAAAAATATATTCTAAATGGATATTCCCACAGTTCCCCTCTCAGCAAATATTCTAAAATCTCAGCTAGGAACTAGAGTATATATATATATATATGTGTATATATATATATATATACATATATATATATATATATATATATATATATATATATATATATATAACTGAGCTATGCTAGCTGAGCTATAACTATGTATATATATATATATAACTATATGTATATGTATATATATATATATATATATATATATATATATATATAACTGAGCCAGAGCTCAGATATTTCATTTTGCCACCTGTATGAGACATGAGTCAAGTGATTCAATGTAAGCATAGTTTGAACTGAGTCAAATGAAGAACAGAACAGTTAAGTCACAAACTGAATCAGATTCCACAATCTGTGAGCCGGTCCGGAGCTGACTCAAGACATTTGGGTCAAACCCGGCTGATGCTAACCACTACATCTCAAGACTAGCATCCCATTCTCCGCACTACCGGCCGGATACCAGTCTTTCCGAAGTCCCCGAAGTCCAGGTTATATCAATATAATACTTAGCCGGTAAATTACACCTTTCTGTAAACTATCTGCAAGATTTTCCACAGGCACGTTTCTCAACCTGTTCTCCACGCTCTCCACCGACCACCAACCGACGGACCCCGCCGCGTCCTGGGAGCAACTTACATTCAAATGGGAATCGGAATCCCACAATGGTGAAGGTTTTCTACTCCCATCGGAAGAAAATAAATTTACGACGTTCACCTCTAAACAGCCTCATTTCTCTGTTGAGCCTTGGGTTACCGGGTGTGTTGATTAGTATCTATGCGTACAACGCGTCGCCGATTTTAGCACGAATCGGCACTAAACACGGCTCCCCTCCTAGCAAACATACGTGCTAAATATTGTCGAGGATGTGTTGGAGTCTCCGGCTCTTCGGGAGGATTCAGCATTGGAGGGAAGGCATATTCTCCACTAAGAAATCCGACCTGAATACGTGGTGAAAATGCATAAAAGAGTCGAAGCATGAAATTTTTTCTATCGATATACAGAGCGTCGCCACAGAATCATGATCGGAGTCTAAAGCTAAAGCAGGGTTTGTTGTTTTCCGTTGAGCAGAGCTTTAAATCTTGTATTTATATAATTATTTTTGTTTTCTGGGATCGTCCTTTCATATCAGCCGGGTTTTACGGATGAATATTTTTACAAAACCAAAAAACTCCTAAAAAGCAATACCCAAGCCGATAAATAACGTACAGTGGCTCTGTCATTGAAGACTGCTATTGCCTGCGCGCCATTTATGTAGCCCACCCACCTTTTTTGGAGCAGCCGCGCTAATAGGTGATCCCCGAATGATTGGTGGTGTAGGTGAAGGCATTGTATCAATTTAGCTCATTATCATACACTGAGAAAAGTATTGTATCAGACTTAACGCTGGTGAGTAGATGCAGCGATGCTAACTTTGTGCGACTGGATTGCTCTGTGAGGAGGAGGATGATTCGTCCGCCTCAGCTGCATTGGCCCTGGAGCCCTGATCACGCGGCGGGATGACGTCTCAAGTGGTGTAGCTCTGTACGTAACTTTGTGGAGCGGGTGGGCAGAAAAGTGTTTTATCCCAAATAATGGTGCAAACCATGTTCTCCCCGATTTTGACCAAGTTTTTTTTCTCAAAGTCGGCAGGGGCTGGCATCTTATCCAACTTAATGGGGAGCTCCATGCCTGGTCTTAATTGAAGCGTATCTAGGTCAGTAAAAGTTTAGGTGGGTATCACATTGCCCCATAATTTTTCCTTGGGTGATAAAAATTGTACCTTGGCTAGAATGTAGCTGCACTGACTACCGTGCCCCAAATGCTCCTATTTATATTGTGGCTTGCATGGCATTTCAAGCAAAAAGTTGTCATAGTGTGCTGTGGGGAATGGTGTAACAGGTGCACAACATTTTAAGCATTGCTTTTCATTCATCTTAGCTGGGACTGACACTTTTGCAATAAAATCATCAATATGGACAACTTTATCAGCTCTATTGGTTTAAAAAATACAGTAAGTTTGAGCATAGACTTAAGAAGAAAGCACTTACTCAGAAAGCTAGAAAGGCTAGAAAATTTAACAATGACAAGAAGCCATCTCTAATTGTCTTTGGGAACCACTGAGACCAGCAAGAGCATGATGTTTACTGTTATCTGCCACCAGAGAATGTCCTGTAGTGCCAGCTATGAGTGCAGTACAAATTCACCTGGGTTATTTTGTTCTCATTACAAGCCACAATTTTAACATTTTTGTTCTCTTTCCTGAGGGCCAAAACCAAATTCCAGGTTTTGGCTAGTGTCCTATCCAACTAAATAGGGAACTACATGCTCGTCCCCAAATTAAGTACATTGAGGTCAGTAAAAGCCTAGGCAGTTGTGACATTGCCCCAGAATCTTTCACCTGGGTCAGAAAGATTGTACCTTGGCTAGAATGCATCTGCACTAACTACCACATCCCAGATGCTCCTATTTATCATGTGACATGTGTCATTTCAATCATAAACTTGCCATTATGTGCTCCGGGGAATGGTGCAACGGGTGCACAACAATTAAGCATCTGCTTCTATCAGCCTTTATTGGGACTGACACCTTGACAGTAGAATTATCAATGTCAGCAACTTCCTATCAGCTCCATAGCTTACAAAATATAGCAGGTGTGAGCATAGACTTAGGAAGGAAGTGCTTACTATAGGGGCTTGAAAATTTAAGGATTGCAAGTAGCCAATCTCTAATGGTCTTTGGTGATCACTGAGACCAGCCAGAGCATGGTGTTTACTGTTATCTGCTAGGAATTAATTGTCAATGCATTATTATTTCTTTGGTAAAGATGGTAGGGTTGATTGATCAATTTTTTGCCTTTGCAACACTTTAACTTTGTTGGTAGCTGCCGTCATGCCTCACAACCCGTTCCGCGTTTCCATCCCGAGAAAAGCTCCGATATTCTTCTGCCCTGAGGCTTCTATTCACAACCCGCCTTCTCCTTACACCAACCAACGCGCACTCTCCTGCAAAACTCGCCGGACGCCCACATCACCTCGGACAGCTCTTCAAACCTCCGTGCAGAATGTCGCGCTCGCCTATTGGGCAACACTTTCCCGCTTCGTCTGCCAACCCGTCCAAACAGCTGTTCGCAAAACCCAAGACATACTGTGGTGCACAACAAAGTACGTCACGTACCGCGCATCACAAAGAGCTGACTTCTTTATTCGTCGAGAATGCTGCCCACCTAACCCCTAAGCTTGGTCCTAACGTCCTCCTCACCGTAAACTGGACGTAGGGTGCGCAAAATAACCTCACTTGGTAGAGAACTGTAGCTGACTTCTGAGTTCACAATGCCACAGCACATCACAAAAAGCAAAATAATCAAATTTCCACTAACCAACACAATCCCTGCGTTAGACAAAATAACCCTGTACCCCCAAACTCTTATCACGTATAGGTCCTGGCTAGTCGAGGTACCGCCTCGGTCGTCGCACCTCACGATCGTGTCTCGTCCGCTTTGTCCCGGTCGCCACCGGCATCGCCTCTTCCGCGGACTCCGTACCAGGTCGCGCCACCAACGATTCATCGTCAGCTCCAGAGGACACCACCGGACAGGACGACTCCTGCGGTGCCGGCTCCGGTGTCGTCGCTTGCTGGTCTCGTTCCACTCCGCCCAGGCCGTCCATCGGTTTCCTGTGGCCATCCGCCTTCTCCAGCGCGTCACTAGGCACTGATGTCGTGTCGTCGACCGTCACGTCTCCGGCCGTCATAGCGACCGCTTCCAGCTGCTCCGTCTGGATGAGCTCTGCGTCGTCCGCTACTCGTTCCAGCTGTTCCCCGGTCCCCGGCACTGGATCTTGGATGCAAAGTAGCTCTTCCAGTTGAACAGCCTCGGTCCCAGCTTTTCTTCTGCCGCCGTCGGAGGTCGTCGTTATCGTCATCTCTGTCTCTCCGGTCAGGTCATCCGCTCCGTTCCCTCCAGTATAATTCAGTCCAGTGTCGATGTAGTCAGTTCCAGTTTCAGTCTCCACCACGGCCATCTCTTGCTCAGATCTGGGCTTCTCTGCCTTTTTCGGATGTCCGCCGTGTACGAGCCGTTGTCCCCGCCTCTTCTTCAGCAAGTAATCCGGCGGTCGGCCCTCCAGCACAAGATAAGGCCCCTCGAACTTTGACTTCAGTTTGCGGTCACACCTTTTCCTGCTGTGAAGTAACGACACCACACTGTGTCGCGTGGCTGAAAGGTTGCCGGTCTTGTCTCGGTGCGAAGACTGCTTTTGCTGAATCAGGTCCAGCGGCTTCTGATGCGCGTTTTTCAGATGATTTCTCAGCTTCACCAAGAACTGGCGATGAGACTGGTTCTTGGTGCTGTCCACGTCGAATTCGTTTTCCAGAACAGTTCGCGTTGGTCTCCCGTAGACCAGTTCTCCCAATGAGAATCCTGTCGCACCGTGGCAACCAGAGTTGTAAGCAGATGTCACCACCGGCAGCCACAGGTCCCAGTCGCGTTGGTTCTCAGCCACGTAGTGAGTCAGAAGTTCCAGCAACGACCTGTTGATTCGCTCCACTTGCCTGTTGCAGCATGGATGGTAGATTTTCGTTCCTTACTTCTTCCCGCCCAGCAGCTGGCAGACTCCTTTGATGAAGATACTGGAAGTTCCGTCCCTCATCGGTCAGCAGCGTCTTCATGACGCCAAACCGGCAGATGACTTGTACTACACATCGCGCCACCCCTTCGGCAGTCTGTCTCTTTAATGCAAATGTTTCCACCCATTTACTGAATTGGTCAGCTATGACCAAAACGTATTTTTGACCACGGTCGCTTTCTAGTAATTATAAGACGTCCGCTGACCAGTGTAGAAACGGCTCGCCTTCTGCAGGTATGGTTCCTCTTCCCTCCTTGCAGCCTGCATACTTTGGTTTCGTCCTCAGACAAGAAGTGTAGCTTCCGCAGTGCGTCACCTCGCGCTGTACGTTGTACCAGAAGAAACTGGCTGTCCCACAGTGCAGCGTATGCCTCACACCTCGATGCCGAGATGATCGGGATTATTGATGTCCAGGACGTCTTCTGTGGCATCGCCATCGTTCTCACCTTCCGTGGATGGCTCTTGCGCGTCCACGACCGTTGAGCGGCGCAGCATCACATCTGGAGTCACTCTCACGCCTTCCTCCGGTACGAACTCTGGTGCAGTCGGTCGCAACTGGTGCTTCCTCGTGTTTGTCTCGAACCTGTGGGACAGCGCATCCACATGCGAAATCAGCCGACCCGCCACGTGCTCCACGGAGTGGTTGGACTGCTACAACTGCTCGATCCACGGGAACAGTCGGCCTGAAGGTGAATTCGAGCGGTGCAGGAACTTGATTGCCTCGTGATCGGTCCTCAGTAGGAACGGCTTTCTCACCAGGTAGTGGTAAAACTTCGATGTCGCTTTCACCAGCGCTCCCAGTTCGCGCTCAGTGACGCTCCAGTTGCTCTCCGCTGGCGCCAATTTCCCTGAAGCGAAAGCAACCACACCCTTTGACTGGCTCAGCTGTGCTCCCCATCCAAAGTTTCTCGCATCGGTTGTCAAGACGAACTTGTCCACAGGGTCAGGACATTGTGGCACGGGGTACCACTGAAGATCCTTCTTCAGTGTCTGGGAGCCGATCTCGCGGTCATCAGTCCACTCGAAGCTCGTCTTCTTCTGTATCAGGTTGGTCAGGTGCACTGACTTGTCAGCGAAGTGTGGAATGTACTGCCGATAGTAGCCAACCAGACCCAAAAACTGACGCAATTTCTTGGTGCTGCTCGGTCTGGGCCAGTCCTTCGTCGGTTCTACCTTGTGTACTGTGAGACGGATCCCCATCTCGTCGAGTTGATGCCCCAGGAAGGTGACTTTCGTGACCGCCACCTGGCACTTGTTGGGATGCAACTTCAACCCGGCTTGGCGAAACCGGTCCAGAAGCTGCTTCAGCACCTCCAGATGCTCTGAACTCGAGGAGCTGTAGACGAGGGCGTCATTTAAGTAGACCACTGCTGTTTCCCAGTTGAAACCCTCCAACACATCCCCCATGATCCGTTCATACATCCCCGGACTCGTTTTAGGCCCAAGCGGTTGACGTGTCCACTGTTTGAGTCCTAACTCGGTGATGAACGCTAGTACTTCTCGGAATTCCGGAGCGACGAGCACAGCCCAGTAGGCAGATCGCTGGTCCAGTACTGAATAGACCCTGGCTTCCCTCGCTGCTTCCAGGTCTCCGATCCTTGACAGGGGGTAGGAATCGTGCTTGATGACTGCATTCACCGCTCGGTAGTCGGAGCAGAACCGGACTCCTCCGTCCTTCTTTCTGATCATCACAACAGGCGACGGCCACAGTGACTTTGAATCCTCGATCACTCCTTGCTCTTGCATCGCATTCAGCTTCTCTTTCAGCTGTCCTCGAAGATGCAG